TCCACCCATGACAAAATTCTATGCAATGGTGAGTGCCTTAGAACATTAGAATCATTATCTCTTAGCAAATGAATTCATCCTCTATTCAGATCACAAAACATTAAAATATTTCATAATCAAAATAAACATAAAGGAAGACATGCTAAGCAAAATTTCTCTCATCTCTTCATTACATTTTTAAATATAAGTTAGTAGTCAAAACATAATTGCAGGTGCTTTGGGTCAACGCTATACCCTTATTAGTCTCCTTCAAACCAAAGTCATAGGATTTGAGCGATCATCAATCTTTATTCCAAGGACTTATATTTTGTAAAAAAATGAAAGCTCTGTCAAAAAAGGACCCATAATTTTTATCAAATACAAGATAGTTGTCTATTGTTTCAAAATAGAGTTTGCATCCCAAGAAGCTATTATATTTGATTGTTATGCAAGGGATTTAGGGGGAAACTTTGGTGGGATATAACTACTACATGTATATAAGAAAATTTTTACAAGCCCATCAATTCAACATGATGTTATCCTATTCCTTTCTTTAAAGGATGTCGAGTGTACCATAAAGCCAAAACTAGGAATAAGAAAATAGAATTGCACACTCCTTTATCTATCCCTAAGGCTCCTTGGATAGATATCAGCACAAATTTTGTGATAGGACTGCCCAAAACCCAATGACATAAAAATTCTATTATGATAGTTGTGGATTTATATTTTAAAATGACTTGTTTTATCCCATGTTATAAAATCCATAACACTTTATAAATCGCTGATTTATAAGGGAAATTGTTTGTCTGCATGAGATTCCTAAAACTACTATGTCTGATAAGGAAGTGCGCTTTCCCAGTCATTTTTAGAAAACATTATGGGAAAAATTGGGCACTAAACTACAATTTAGTTCCACAACTCACCCTCAGATGGATGGTCAAACAAAAGCCATCAAACATAGTTTGGGAAACTTGTTAAGATGTTCTGTGGGAAAAACAAATATCAAGAAATGGGGCCTTTCCATAGGATTGTGGGCTCGGAAAATTCGCGCCCCGGTCTCCTCGCCGCTTGCTACTTTTTTGCTTTCGTCGGGAGTTTTAAAAAATTAAGTTCCGAGGGAAATTTTGGGAAGGCAGATTGGGATTGTAGATTTTGGGAAGGCAGATTGAGATTGCTACTTTTTTGCTTATGATCCAACTGGAAGGGAATGCTGCTGGAGGAGCGAAGTCGAACAATAGCGAAGGAGCCGAAGAAGCACGCGATATAAAGAGTGTTACCTTCAAAGCGAGCGAGCTCCATGGTTGCTTCCGATCCAAAATGTCGTAACTTCCGATCCCACAGGAAAGGGAACGTCGCCGAAGGAGATGGGAAGTCAGAGCTAGGGCAAGTCGAAGGAAGTCTGCGGCTTTGGCAATGAGGTTTGCGAGTGTCTAAACTTGAGGGAGGAAGGAACGAACAATCGAAAGCCTCATTCTTTCAGTATTTAAGGATGTGAGGCAAGGCGTCATGCAGGACAACGCAATCAAGGCGAACGTGGGAGAGGCAACGTTGGATCATGGGTAGGCGATGGTGTAGGACGTCCAACTTGCGAAATTTTGGGGATTTGCCATTACGCGAGCCGACGTCGAACAGGTACGTGATTTCGATCCCTCTTCTTTTTTCTTTTCTTTTCTTTTTTTTTTCCTATAGTGTAGGTCAACAAGCACAAGCTAATTTGCTTAAAATTGTTCCATCAACCAAATGATAAGTAGAAGATCATTTGAGATTGTGTATTGTCAAATGGAAAAAAACGACTGTGAAAATAAAAAACTACATTGGCAAGTTCATGAAATGATAACAAAAATAAATGTTTAATATTAAAAACAAGCTAACAAATCTCATATTTTAGCTTCCTTTAAAGTGATATTGAGTGTGGACTCACTAAAGTAAATAGTGTTCTTGTGGACCCTTTGCCAAACTTAAACCAAAAACTAATAGACCTTTTAAAATAGTCGAGCACATGGGGGAGGAGAATGCTTTTAAGATTGAGTTACCAGGAGGATATGAACATTTCCTCCGTCATCGGTGTTTTTTATCTCTCTAATCAAGGTCTAAACATAACATCGAGAAAGAGTCTTCCCCCACCCCAAGAAGCATGATATAGTTTTTATTCGCTTATCCTTTAAACATTTTAGTAAGTTGAGTTCATTTGTTATTTTTTCCAGGTTTTATCTCCTTATTTCTTTCTTTCTTTGAATAAAGGCATAATTTGGTAAATTATGGCCTCTTTAGCCTTATTTTGTTTATAAATAACTTTTACTCTTTTGAAAGGGGCACTTGGAGTTGAAAATTAAATTAGAAAAACCTGGGAGATGAGGTAGAGCTCCTATCATTAGTGTGGATTTCCCCTAAATGTTGAGAGGAGAGGAAAGAGAGGGATTGTAGTGAAGTCCAGGAATCCGCCATCATCAATGTCGAGTGTATTTGTCTCAATTCAGCTTACTCCCCTGGCAATCAAAGGGTCATTGCAAGTGGTTTGAAACCCAACTGTCCGCCCATGCCTGCAGAAGCACCTCAGGCTGTGGATAGTCTGTCTACCATTGCAGGAAGGGAAAATCACTGTTATGTTTTGCCGCCACTGTAGGATAAGACCTAATAAGGTCCCAGACGCTGATCGAGAAAGCAAAAATTGAATTGCAAGGAACCCTACCAGGTTCTTTGTTGCTATTTTTTTCAATTGCTATTATGTTTCTTCCTATAAACAGCCATCTATTTGGATTTTTTTTCTTGCTATTTCCTACTAGTACCAATTTCTTGAAAGCATGAAATCAATCTTGGATCAAATCTAGAACCTTCCAGTCTCCAAAAATATTTCTGTGGATCCATACAGTAGTTGGGGAGCCGAAAAACTAATATGCAAGTACAGAGAAGAAACAATAACTGTCGACTCGCTCAGGAAATTTCCAAGTAGACAATAGCATATGATTATTTCAATTGTTGCAACCTTATTTTGTTTTGTTTATTTTCTATTTTCCCATCATTTTTTGAAGTGCTCGTTCATCATTTGGTCCAAGACTTCAGTCATTGGTTGTAAAGGTTTCGTGTAAGATTTACTAATCAGAATTTGAGGGTTTCTTTGTTTATGTTGGTTGGTCTTTTTTTTTTTTTTTTTTTTTTTTTTGTTGGTTTTTTTTTTTTTTTTTTTTTTTTTGCCTTTCTTGTTTCCTCGGTGTCACTCAACTTGGATGAATGAAGATTAAAGAATGTATGAAGTTGACCACAAATAATTAGGATAAGACTATAATGAGGATGCCTAAAATTGTTTATTTGTCAAAGAAATTACAACTTTCCAATTGAAATATTTAGTAAAGAAATATTCAATTAAATGACATTTTAAACAAGTTGTAGAATGTAATGATAATGTAATTTGATGGTTAGAAGTGTTTATAAAATTCTATAAGGGATTAAGACAATGGTTCAAAACAACAATCTTATAGGAATCAATGTTGTTAAAGATGATTCAGGTGTTCATCTAGGCCTTTGGGCGAGGCAAGGTAGGGCCATAATGTCCTACAAATCTCTCAGGAAAGCACCATTACTACGACATACCGAAAAGACTGTTTTAGCATAAGCAACCAAGCAATGAGACAAACGCCTTTCCTTAATCCAAAAGATAAACAACAATACTTAAATGCTAAATATGAGTAAGTTTTATATTAATAATTTGATATGAGAAAATGTGAGAAAAGCATCAAAATTCTAAGAAAAACTGATAAAATCTTGGAAACAAGTGAAATCAAACGCATGTGCAAGATTAGAGATCAATCCTGAAGATTAGATCCTCCCTAAGAAATACATATACAGCAAATTTATATCATTCACCTAATATGTATTCGAGATAAACTATTTAGCATGACTTTCAAACTTGTTATGCAATAAGAATTAAAAAATTATTATCTTTTCTAACATATTTATGTGATGCAGACTATTTTGCACATTTAAAAATTATTCCTTATAAATTTAAACAAGTGATTAGATATTTCTCTTTAGAACCTCAATTTAGTAGGGTGAGTGCCTACAGTACCACCTACAGTTTAAAGTGTTGGGTAGTTGTATAGCCTTAAGGATGCTGATGCTTTTTATAAGACTAATATAAATTAAATCATGTTTATATTGTACTTTACATGGTAGGTCGCACTACCAAAGTGAATCTAGTATATTGTCAAATGGAATATTTATTTTAACTCTTTGATCTCTCTTATAATTCTGAAAAATCATAAAACTAAAAAATAGCTGATTTTAGAAGTTAAACTAGGCATGATGTCAAGAAGCTTCATTTACATTGGAAAACAACAAATCTATCTTTAGTCAGTATTCAAAATCAAGGTATGTATTTTGTATTATGTAAATCCTAGACAAGTTAATCCTTTAGAATGACCATTGTGTTATCTATCTTGGATAAATCTGACGTTTAAATATGTAAGTTTGAATGATTGTGTTTTACGAAGTTTCTCAAGACTTCTAAATTTCAAAGTTTACATGCAAGAGATAAGTACAACAATTAGACCACTAAGTTATTTCTTTTCAGCTCAAGCCTTTCATTCACATTAAAATAGAAAAGGCCATCTCATATGAAGTTAATCCAAACTGCATTCATGCCACTTATGGATGACTTTAGCCTATGATAGTGTTTCATAATATAAATTCCACAATGGTTACAATGCCCATGAAATTTCCATGTACACATTCTTGTAACATGTTGGTTAACCATAATAGCATTCACGAAAATTCAATTTTTAACCAAAGTATCTTCTCAAAGTTAATAATGTATATCAACAATTTTAACAAACATCTATATTTTTTTGCAAGTCAAAGAAGCTAACCTAGGAATAACTCAATATGCGATTAAACATCTTTTTTTCCACAAGAGAAGCATCATCATGTTAAAAAAAATAAATGATTGACCAAGAGACAGTGCATTGAAGAATATGGAAAACAATAGGTGGATGTAATAGCAATCAATACATTGCCATAGAAGAGACCTGAAAATCCGAAAGCTGTTCCTGTGACAAAGCACCATTTAAAGCAGATATTATAACAGCATTATTCAGTTCTTGCAGCTTCTGAACACAAGTTGTAGCTCGGTTCTTTCCAACATCATCCTCCGAGAAATAGAAATTGCTGGCTAAATCCCATAATTCCACTTTGCCTTCATCATGTAAAGTGATGGATTTAACACCTGCAAGGACAAGGTTTTTGGCTACAAGAAGAAAAAGAAACAGCAGTAAGTCATCCATGATCAATAAAAAAGGAAATAGTACATAAAAATATGGAAAGAAGAGGCTATGGAATACAACAGATCAAAGAGTACATGTTTCACTCAGTGGCATTTGCAATACCAGCAGTGGGCAGTGGTAGCAGCAGCAGAAATAAACAATAATAATAGGTTGCCTATGGTAGCATGCATATTGATAGAATATTGTTGCTTTCTTTGGCATTGCAACATAATATCAATTAACCCTGTTATCTACAATTTTCATGGATGGTTAAAAGGCTGCAAGGCATCAAAAAATTTCTCATAAGAGAAAATGGCATACCATGACCATTTGTTCAAACTTTACGAAATATGAATAAACTTTCCTTCCATCATTCCATTTTTGAACAGATTAACACATAGCTGACAGAATTCCTATAGCAGTCACACCCTAAAGATAAATCAGCACATACTGCGTTGCAGAAGATAAAGTTTACAACGCTAAGAGTACACATTTCAACGCCACAGAACCTAACTGTAACATAATGATTGCTAAAGCGGTAAGCAATCCAATAAAAAAAAAAATCCACTCCAAACATAAGAAATTACGACACTTCCACCAACAAGAATTAAAAATAGGCGAATTCTAGTGATGATTATTGTGTCGGAGTGGAAAAGAAACGTAATCTTTAAGAAATAAATTCTCATGAATCCAGATTATATAGGTTCCTATTCAGAAAACAAGATACAGTGGCATCCGCAGTACCTATCTCAACGCCCAGGCCTTGGAGACCAGAGACCAAAACGCTCGAGGAAAAAAGCCGCCGCATGGTCTCCCTCCCATAGACGGCGAGCTGCCGACTGTGGAGATCTTCATCTATGTCCACTTGCTTCTTCCCGTTCACCATCTCGTAGTCCATCCTTTTCGGTGGCCTGTGATTGCTCTCCGTTGCCACCTCAGCCGAAGACGACGAGATCAAGCAAGCCTCTCCCTTGGGCTTCTTCGGCACTTCTGCTCTCACGGCACCGTCTTCTTCTACCACAGCTCCGCAGGTTCTCTTACTGGGAAGCATATAGAGCTACTGAAAACCTCCTCCAAATCAGAAACGAATATCATAACCCTAAGCCTAAACCTGATCGAATCGGCGATGAAAGCGAAGTTGAACGGAGCAAGAAAGAAAGGAAAGAAGAGGTGGGGTTTTGTTCTTGGGTGGAGACCAACCTCGGGCTTCTGCTAGGGTTTCCAAGTGGATAGACGATGCCGCAGAAAAGGTAGAGGACAGTGAGGCGGAGGAAGCTGTGGGTGCTTCTTCGGCCCTTAGATCAGAATCAGTATCCTGAAATTTCTTCGTTCTCCTGAGTATATATAGCTTAAAGCCGACCAAAGATTTTATTATTTTAAAGTGCTTAGAATGAAATGGGGGTGCATGTAGGGCAAGTTATGCCAAATTCACATTTTTTTTTTTTTTTTTTTTTGGAATTACTCTTGATACAGTCAGTTTTTTTGAGAATTAAAGAAAAATGTTTGGACTCACACACTCATCATATACATATGACTTGAATCAAAAATTTATTAAAGGATAGTCAAAACACTAAATCAACAGACCTAAAAAGAGTCTATCACATACATATCACATATATAAGTCTCAAACTCAAGAGTTCTTTGTTCGTGGTCAATCTCCCAACAAAGAGACCAATGTGATCTACGTATGCTTAAAATGAAATAAAAGAGTGCACTTAATACTTATTTTTATAAGAAAATTTAGTATGTATAAATTAAAATCATAAAGAGTTCATAATTTTATACATGAAAATTTTGAGAAGAGAAAAATTATGGAATTTGACCTACTTATATAATCAACTACATAATTATGGTTACTAGAATATGCTTTTCTTCACAATTTTAGAAGATATGATTACAAAACTAAGAATAATTTTTTATTCCTATTATAGGTATTAAAAAAGTCGGATATCCACATATGAATAGTTGAAAGTTTATAAAGGGGTTATGTGATGACTATAGTGGTGACTACAGAATTCAGGTAGTGGTTATCGGCGATAATTATTGAAAAATATAATAGATGCCTTGAGTTGTTTCAGCACCAACTCAACCATCTTTCATGTAGAGAGTGGAGCCCTATTTATAACATTTTATGAAGGGCATTTTGATAAATTAGGTCAGAATCCAAGCACTTCATCAAATGGTTCATAATGTTCTCCCTGATCATAAATTATTTATCCATGATAGAATCAAATAATCATATGCTTATTTGATTCATCTCATCAAGCAACTCAATTTGACTAGAAGCATATAAGATTGGAAAACTAATCAATTAATATAAAAAAGATTTAAATATATTTTAAATGTTTAATTTGAATTCATTTGGACACCGATGGAATCATTTGTGGTTTTGATAGATTCTTCTCATTAAGATGCTCAATTCGATTAAAACTTTGTTGAAATTGGAGTTCATCCTAAATTAATTTTGGAAGTTCCTAATTCAAGTATTGCCTGAAGATTTATGCTGATCAAGTTAATTTTTCAAAAAACTTATTATTTGCCCCAAAGTTTTTGGACTTCAAAACTCTGTCATCTGCAAATATATGTTAAGTTTTTTAAAAAATATTATACTGTGTTTGCACGTTGATTGAAGCAAAAATAAATTAATTTTTTTCAATAAAGTTTTTAAATTTACTTAAATTTTATCATTAAAGCATCATTGTACACTAAAAATATCAAAATTGAGTCTAGAATATAAAAAAAGAGTCTAAAAAAAAAAAAAAAAAAAAAAAGATTGGTTGGGCCCAACAAAGTCGTGCCTGCTTTTTTAACCAACCACTGGTGGTGATCCTTGGTAGTTGGGAGGCATCATTTTGTGCCTCATCAAGAGACTTCTATTTTGATTTTCTTTAACTTCTTTTAATAATTTTTAATTTTCTTTTTTCTTTTCTTTTTTCTTTTCTTTTTAATGTTTTTCTCTTTCTTTTTTTCAATTTTCTTTTAGAAAATTACAAAATTTTATAACTTCCCCTTCTCTTCTTTTCAAAAAATTTTGAGAAGAGAAAAATTATGGAATTTGACCTACTTATATAATCAACTACATAATTAAGGTTACTAGAATATGCTTTTCTTCACAATTTTAGAAGATATGATTACAAAACTAAGAATAGTTTTTTATTCCTATTATAGGTATTAAAAAAGTCGGATATCCACATGAATAGTTGAAAGTTTATAAAGGGGTTATGTGGTGACTATAGAATTCAGGTAGTGGTTATCGGCAATAATTATTGAAAAATATAATAGATGCCTTGAGTTGTTTCAACACCAACTCAACCCTCTTTCATGTAGAGAGTGGAGCCCTACTAATAACATTTTATGAAGGGCATTTTGATAAATTAGGTCAGAATCCAAGCACTTCATCAAATGGATCATAATGTTCTCCCTGATCATAAATTATTTATCCAATATTTGAGAGCGTTTATGATGTTAGAATCAAATGATCATATGCTTATTTGATTCATCTCATCAAGCAGGTCAATTTGACTAGAAGCATATAAGATTGGAAAACTAATCAATTAATATGTAAAAGCTTTAATGTATTTTAAATGTTTACTTTGAATTCATTTGGACCCCGATCGAATCATTTGTAGTGTTGATAGATTCTTCTCATCAAGATGCTCAATTCGATTATAACTTTGTTGAAATTGGAGTTCATCCTGAATTAATTTTGGAAGTTACTAATTTAAGTATTGTCTAAAGATTTAAGATGATCAAGTTAATTTTTCAAAAAAAAATTATTATTTGCCCCAATGTTTTTGAACTTCAAAACTCTGTCATCTGCAAATATATATTAAGTTTTAAAAAATATTATACCGTGTGGCACGTTGATTGAAGCAAAAATAAATTAATTTTTTTTCAATAAATTTTTTAAATATACTTAACTTTTATCATAAAATCATCATTGTACATTAAAAATATCAAAATTGAGTCTAGAATATCAAAAAAGAGTCTAAAAAAATAATAATAAAAAAAAAGATTGGTTGGACCCAACAAAGTCGTGCCTGCTTGTTTAACCAACCACTGGTGGTGATCCTTGGTAGTTGGGAGGCATCATTTTGTGCCTCATCAAGAGACTTCTATTTTGATTTTCTTAAACTTCTTTTTATAAATTTTTCTTTTCTTTTTTCTTTTCTTTTTTCTTTTCTTTTTAATGTTTTTCTCTTTCTTTTTTTCAATTTTCTTTTAGAAAATTACAAAATTTTATAACTTCCCCTTCTCTTCTTTTCAACTATAAGTACCCTCTTACAAAGTGGAATTCTCTACTCCCCTCTTGTAGGCTCCTATTCTTATCATAAGGAAGTTATACTATTTTGTATTAGGATTGTATAATTCCCCTTCTCAACACCTATAAAATAGCATCTTGGATAGGGTGTATGTTTCTCCCTTAAATGACCAATGCTCATTTACCAAGAGTAATAAACTACTATTTAGAGTTATGAAAAGGTTCATATTTCTCAATTTCGTTTTTATAGGTTCTATATTTACCTTATAAAAGTGGCTTAACTATGCCTTAGAAAGGTAAAATATTCTCCCATTACAAGTTCTCGTGTTTTCTCTATTAGAGTACTCAGCCATCTTATATATGAAGTTGTGAGTGATACCCAAAATTTCTAAGCTCTAGGATGGAACTCCAATTGAAGGAGGGTTGAATGGTTCCATTTCAAGATTTTTTTTTCACTCCATTTCAAGTCTTCAATTTTCTCTCTAATGAGGTGATAAAGTTTTAATTTAGCTATTACAAGAGATCATGCTAAATAATGTTCTCCAATTTATGAAGTTTAACTTTCATATTAATATTTGTGTTTGGTGTTAATATTGATGATTCCAAGTACCAATAGTGATGTGGAGGCCATCAGAATCATTTGAGATATGTTGAAGAAGAGATAAAATTTGCACCAATGCATCAAGCTTTGAGAGAATAGAAGTTGCAAAAGTTTGAAGATTTACATATGATAAAAATATATGTGTTGGTATTATGATTTTGTATGCGGCTCTAAAATGTATATTTCTTATATACAAGTGTAACTAATACTCGCAATCAATTTTTTTTTAAATTAATAAACTCTTTCATCTTTGTGTAAGAGCAATTCATATTTATGAGAACTTGACTCCTCTATGAGACAAGTCCTTTATATATTTTTTTCTACACACTTGAAAACTTTAAGGTATTGCCCTCTCATATTGAGCACGATGACTTTTCTTTCGTAAGTCCTCTCGACGCTTATAACTTTGGAGATTTTTCAGAATTAAAAAAATTTGTATCTTTTGAGGCTTTTATCGTTTTGAGATTTTAAGAGAAATGGAGAAAAAATATACTTTTGAGATTTTTAGAGAACCTGATAACCTTTTGAAGTTTTGGGAGAACTTGAGAAATATGTACATTTTGATTCTTTATCTTCTAAGATTTCTTTAGTGTACATATATTTTTTAGGCTTATGACTTTTGAGATCCATAGATGATAAGATGATCATATATCTTCTTATATTTTATGTGTTACACCTTATGAGGCTTATGTCCTCTAAGATTTTATATATACCTATACCTTCTAAAGCATATGCCTTTTGAGATTCTTGGATGATATTATATCTTCTTAGATTTTTAAATGATCTTATATCTTCTGAGGCGTTTATCTCATGAGATTTTTAGATTAGTGGAGACCCTATCAACCACTTACTCTCATGAAATCATTTTAATGAGAACCATGTCCACTACTTGCTTCCCATCAAGAATATCTCATAAGTACATGTATTATGAACGGTGGCCCTATTTGTCACTTTCCCTAATGAGATTTTTTTTAGTGAAGTCCATATCCACTACCAGCTTCACATTGAGGCTACCTCATGAGTGTGCCTTCTTGGGATTTTTATTAGAAGTAATATTATTTATAAGATAAATCCTTCATCAATAACTTAAAGAGATACTTATTTAAAAATATGTATGTTCATCTCCAGTAGAAGTCATAATCAAAATTCTAATTAGATGAGGAGATAAGCTTCTTTAAGTTGGTTTAGTAATAAAATCTAACTGTATATTACTCTTTCTAAACTTCTCTATTTTAAGACTAGCGATCTATTTATTATTCTCATAAATAATGGCCCAGTTGTCTATAATGAATTAGACACTTAATCTCATCATTTATCTAAAAATATTTTGTATTGAATGCCATCTTGAACGATGAAAGCGATAATATTGAGTATGATCTCCATCATTTAAACTCTTTAAAGGCTTTTGTCACTTGACATGTTCATAATTTTGGATCTCCATTAGGAAATTGGCCCTCGATGTATTTAATGGGTGGATTGACTTTGTTTGGATTTAATGAGAAATGCATTTTCGATCTCTTGACTTCTCTTACTTTTTTCATAAAGAAGCTTGATTAATATCTTGCGATAAATTTATACATTTCCTTACATGTTGTTTGAATTAATTTGGATGAGAATTAAAGGCCTCATTAGTAATTATTTGTGATTTTGCTTAATGAATAAGATTAGCATAAGAGAGGGATATCTCTTGCATCAATGAAAAATATAAAAATTTAGAGCTAATTCCTCCATGAAAACATCTCATAATAACTATGGATGCACTCCAAGATGTTTGTCTAAAGAGAATTATTAGAAGTATTTATTAGATTATCTCTCTCATTTTAGCAAATTCTAGAAAAATGAGAGAAATACTTAATGATTCTTTGATTAATAATGAATTGTTTGACAAAAAGTCTAGCTAGATTGACAACAATATAAATAATTCTATTTAAAAGAGAGTATAATCAAGTTTAAGCTTGTCCTCTAAGAGTTGCAAGAAAGACCTATCAAGGGACTACATCTAAAGCTTATTAAATGTAAAGGATGGTTTCATTGTGGTCAATGTGCTCATAGGAGTTATAATTTTAACTGTATGAATCACTTATTGTTGACCTCATTTTAGTGTGAGTTTAAGAATATCTAATCAAATTAAATCACAATCCATCCAAATCAGAAGTTCAATTCGAAATCCAAAATTCAAAATCAAATGCTCAAACCTAAATCCAAAAACCCCTTGGTCCAAAACCAGATTATGGGGGAAATCAAATCCTTTCAAACTCTATCAAACGACTTTTGATTTATGATCTATTAGTTGCATATTGATTAGGCGTGTCCCTAGGATCAACCATATTAGTTTGGAAGCATTTTGAACCTCCTAACCCTCGAAGCTAAATGCATTTTCAAAGGCTACAAAACTTTAAAATAATTAAAATCTAAACCACTATACCTTGCATCTTATGGAAAATCACCTTGGAAACCTTCCCAAAACTCTTGGTCATGTTCATAATCATTTGCATGATACATCAAACTAATTTTGAGCCCTTGGTGGATCATGGTTGACCTTGAAGCCCTTGAACCCTGAAATCTTCTAAAAACTAATTTTCTCTTAAACTTCAACATGGCTCAGCAAAACAAAGCCTTGAAACCTCCTCCACCACATCTTAAATGTCAAGTGGAGTGCATTGAACCTGACTCTAACTTGGTTGACCAAGTTAACCTAGCTTGACCAAAGTATCCCTTAAGCACTTAAACATGCATTTTGCACCAAACGACCTCCTCATGATATGGAATCACTTCCAACAAACTTCAAATTTCATTTGAAATTGGTTGGACCCCACGTTGACCCCTGGTCAAATATGGTTGACTAAGTCGACTCATGAGTTGACCAAAACACCATGGGCTTTAAAAATTCAGAACTCATAATTTTGACCAAACCAATAAACCAAACTCATGGGGACACTCTATTGGGTCAACATGAGTCTCCCAAAAAAATTCTAGCCTGTGGGCCCACCTGGTTTAGCCAATTGGGGTTGACCCAAGTGCACCAAAAAAGATTTTTCTTAAATCAAAACCCAAACCTTGTCAAATAAAAATGTGTAAACTACTGAAGTATGTGTCAAATAACTCTATGTACATAACCCAACAAGTCTAACCCATGGTTTGACCTGGGTCAACCAAATGGGCTAGCCCAAACCCTCCAAAAGCCAAAATTTATGGACTCAAAGCTAACCCAACCAAAGATGGTTGTTGTAGGCATTTCAAATAGCTTCTAAAATCTCCTATCCACATACCCCAAGCAGCCCCTTGGTTTTTTTTTGGCTCCATATGCACTATACTCCAATTTTCCCTTTCTAACTCAAGTGTCCTTGGCCTTTTCCTTCACCTGGCCAAAGGGAATGAACCCCAACAACTCCAACCACGTGGAAAGCATCTAAAGAAGCTTTCAAACCAATCTTGGCCCTTGGTTTAGCCCCTTTAGCTTGAACTAGGGGAAAAGGGCCAAAACACTTATTCATGCATTTTTCCTCATCAAAAGCTCCCCAAGCCCTAATTTCTTTTTCCTCTGAGCTCTAAGCAACTCCTCAAGTATCCTCCTATATTTTCTCAACCTCTCACTTCTCAATGAAACCCCTATTTGAGAAGAGAGAGAGAGAGAGAGAGAGAGAGAGAGAGAGAGAGAGGAGGGAGAATAGAAAGAGATAGTGATATTTCACAAATAAATTTAAATCCAGTGGAAATCAAGGCTCGACGTCTTTAGGGAAATTGTAAAGGACATCAACGAGAGTCCATAGAGCCCAAAAATAAGAGAATCCATCCATTGTTTAGAGGTATTTTTCCAATCTAAGATTAAAACTTCTTTCCAAAATAGCTTTTCAAAGCTTCCAAACATATCCAAACCCTTCTTTTGGAAGTGTTTAAGCTCCCCCTGAATTTTCATGGCATTTAGATCATTGTGCAAACATATATGAAGATTCATCCATTTCCTCCACTTTTCTTCTTTGCATGATTATATTGCTTTTAAATTGATCTTACAGTTCAGAAGGATCATATTGTACAATCGCCTAACGTGAATTAGTAGAAATAGCGTATGTCGCCATTCAAATCATTACCAATAACTGGTCGATGTCTAATTTTTCATTTAAAGCAAAAAAAAAATTTAAAAAATATCCTAAAATTTTAAATTTTCATCATAAATCTATTTCTTAATTTCATGTTCTTGAGCTCGTTGGAACCATCTTGAGCCCATCTTTATTTTAAAATTCATTTAAAGTAATCTGGACTAGTGGATTTTGAGTTATTTTAGTTAGATTAAAAATCACTTTTCCTCAAATTTTTTATTATCCAGTGGTCCAATTGAGCTAAAGTTTGGATAAAGGAACTTGGTTATGTTTACTACAAACCATAATTTTTGTAACCCCTGATTAACATTGGATTTTAGTGGGTTGAATTTCCAAAGTGATCCAAAACTTTAAAAATTCATAACTCACACAAATCTTAGAATTAAGTTTTGAAATTTTTTTATAGTTTGTGCATATTACTATAGGGTTAAATTGCCTATGATTTCACCCAATCCAATTAGTAGTGAGCCTAAAATAAATTCCCAAATGTATAGACGCTTGTAACTTTAGGATCAATTCTATATTATTATGTTATCCTTAACTAAATGATTGATTGTTAGTCATTGAAGAAATATTTGCAATATACAGGAAATCCTTCCCAAAGATGATGCCTAATTATTATGTAATAAAGATTTTGCAATAGTAAAGTGTGTAATTGACATCTTAGTTTTATACAAAAATTAAAATACAAAATAGAAGTTGTGATGCACAGTTCAGTATACACTATTGCACCAAGCACCCCCTTGAAAGAGATTATTGCAGACGGAGTCCAGATACAGATAATCGTTCGATTTTATGACTATGAACAATAAAAACATCAAGGTGAATAGTAAAAATACAGTGATAAATAATAACTAAGCTTTTACTGTTCACGGTCATACATGAATACTAAAATCGCAGAGATGAATAATAATAATCTCTCACGAACAACCCGTAATAATCTCTACCCCCTTGGACGGTTTCTAACAATCAGGGGTATTAAACTACCAGGCAGACTGAGTTCTACGGCGAATTATTGCGTCTAGTCACCTGACGTCCGGACAACCAATCCAGATGCGTCACATCACCCAAATGCACCGGGACCCGGTGTATTTTGGTGACGTGGCGCGTCTGGATTGGTGTTCAGAAGAATCCGGACGCAATAACTTGCCGAGTTCTTCATTGTTGTTGGGTGATACACTATTGTCATTATGAATTCAATTTTTGTAAGCTATTATGCTTCCACTTTTCTAGTTTGATTTTCAGCATTGCATATTTTTTATTGTAATTTAAGCTATAATTCTGCTTCAATATCTCTTGCAATCATCTTTTTATATGAACTTAACCACAAAATCATTTAACTAAACTTACAAAAGATTATAACTCATAACTATAGACTTCGACTCACTCAAGAAAAAAACATACAGATCAAGCATGGCTGAGATTTGCAAAAAGGTTAAAAATGTATAACATTTAACTGAACTCTTCGCTGAAGGGTATTACTCAGGAAGGCCAGGCGCCTATCAGCGGATAAATTTATACATATCAGAAATGCAAAAAACTAAAACGAGTGTATACAGCCTTCTCTTCACACTCGGCGTTATAAATTCTAAATAAGTTTTTTTGGTGAGGACATCTATCACAAAAATAATAATACAATTTTTAGATGTCACAGTGCCTTTCGAGACCAAATAGTCAATTTAAGTCACTAACTAAGAGCTGCACCTGGAGGCTTCAGGAGAGCATCATATCTAATCAATGAAAATCTTGGACATAACGGTAAAATTCTCAAAGGCGCACCTTTCATCTGGTGGCGTAAGACTGGTTAATATAGCCGGTATGAGCAGAGGCGACTTGTCCATACTGGTTGCTAACATCAGCAGTCGGCTGAACCTGGTAATAAGGCTAGAATTAAATCGAAAAAAATCACTAATAAGATTAAGACTTCATTTGGGACAGCTTTCTTCCAGCTTCTTAAAACGTCTTTCTAATATAAAAATTAAAAATTTTGTACTAAAAAGCCACTTTAAGCAGTAGTAAGAAAGCCGTTTCAAACGAAGCCTAATTGGATGATAAGAAAACATCAAAACCATTAACGAATTTTATTAGCTATACTAAACTGTTTTGTAAAGGCCCAACTAAATGGACAATTTTTTTATAGGTTATTAGTGGCATATTTCAACAAGCTGAGGTGATATTTTACATAACAATGCAGGTCAAAATATGTTCATGCAAAGTTAGTAAAAGCAAGCTTCAAAGCACACTCCTTTAGCATTGAAGTGGATGTGATACAGTGGTCGTACGTATCGCTTGCCTATGAACTGCAACCTTGTAGAAAAGCGCATGCAATCATGCCACTTCGCTACATTGCATTGTCGCAATGTGCGCTTGGCTCTAGATCATAAAAAAAAAAAATCCTATTGGAGAGCTTGGAGCTTGCACAGAAGTTTGTGTTTTTAGAGAGTTTGAAGAACTTTGTTTCAGTTTTTATTGTTTTAGTTTTAGGAGTTTGATTGTTTAGTTGGTGTGAGCTTGTACTTAGAGTTGGTTAGTGTAAACATTGCTCTTTTTATTGCATTTTATTTGATTTAATGATGGGGACATCGGATTACGACACATGTACCTTCAGGAGATGCCGGAGATCGACGGCCACGATCATGATCTTTATTTTCATTATTTTATGTAGTAGTTTAATTTTATTTTGATGTTTTTCCGCTTTTGCCCTTATGGGCATTTAGTCGCTTATGTAGCCCGGAAGGGCATTTGTGTCATTTCTTATTATTTCATTTTGGCCTATTTAAATGAGGCCTCATGCATTGTAATGGCAGTTTTTGATGAAATAAAATTTGCTCCTTGTTCTCTTTGTGAGTTCATCCCGCCAAGATCTCTTAGTGAGTTCGCCGGCGAATGCTAGATCTCTTTGTGAGTTCTAGTTTTCGTCCTAATTAATCTTGTGGAAACTCAAGTGAAGATAATTAAGGTTAGTAAATTCGTGGTTGCTCGAACCCCTTGAAATTTTCCCTCTCTTCCTCCCCTTGCATTTGCCGCCGCCTAGCCCAGAGCTGCCCAAGCCGCCGGCCACTTTGGCTGACCCCTCTAGTCGGCCAGCCCACTCTCCAGGCCGTTGGCCACCAGCCCCTTGCCGCTCCCCAACCTCACGATTGACAGTCCAGCCGTGAGCTTCAGCCCCTCACGGGAAAATTGAATTTTGTAGCCATGCCGCCGGCTGATCCTTCTTTGCCCAAATCGTGGATTTCAATTCCTAATGTCTTGATTAATTGCCTAATTATTAATCCACATTAAGGCTGGTAATTAATAAGCAATTAGAAATATTTGAAATTCGAATTCAATTTTCCCTCTCATCCCAAATCAATTTGGTAAGTTACTTAAGCCCCAATTAAATCTGAAATTATAATTTCAGGATTTGATTAGGATTTACTTAATCAACCATGGGCCCCACTTAATGAATAATAATTTCCTCTATATGGCCGGCCACTCATAGAGCCCAATTTCTCTCTTCTATTTTTTTTAGCTGCTATCCAATTAATTCCTAATTTTCTCCTAAAATCGTTGGCCCCTCATGGGATTCATGGGAATTCTCAATTAATTTCCCTCCCACTTTTCTAAGGGAAATTCAAATTGAGATTGCTCTTGGATCTCAAGCTCCACCTAACCCAGCCGTCCACTCTTCTCCTCCCCACCACCAGACCCCTTGCTCCACCCGCCCCTTGGCTCCACCTCTCCTAGGTGGCCTGTCCCCACCACCTTCTACCACATCAACGCCACGGTCCCCCATGACGTATGGCGGATCCGGAATTTGAGTGGGGGCTTGTATTCGACGCCCACAACAATCTCGACGTCCGACAATCGTCATTCTTCGACGCGGGATTTGATTCCGACGACGACACCGTCGGAGCTTCTTTGGATCGGATCCTACCGACTCTCATACACGTCATCGACAAACAACGTCCAGACTCCGAGTGGATCATTGACGGCCGTCCACCCGCTCCTCCGAACCCGGCTTCTCTCCCGGCGACAAGTCCTCTCAAGATCACTTGTCTATTAGTGGCATCGCTAAGTCTACTTACAATTCTCTTCCGCTAGCCACCACTTTCAAAACAAGTGACGGATCTCAAGGTGAATGGTCTAAATTTTAAACGTGTGGCTTTAGTAGTAGCTATTTGCATTATTTAGTTTTCTTTTGGTTATCTTTTGCAAGACTCTTGTAATCCTCAAGTGTAATCGATGCTTAGAGCTTAATCAATCACGAATTTTCTTGAATCCTACTTGAGCAAGCTAGATTTTATTGTTAATATTGCAAAGTTAAAAGCTTTCATTAATCTCTAAAGTGCAATTCATGTTCCCCCATGTTTGTATCACATCATTTAAGTTATTATTCAATCAATTAAATGAATTTTAAATTGGTCAATTAATGAAGAAAATAATTGAGTGAAATTAAAAATTAAATAATTAGCTTTTAAATTTAGTTTTGAATTTACTAATTAAGAGTGTAATTAAATTGCTCAATTAATAAAATTTCAAAGTTATTTCAAAATAAATTAATGAATTTAAGTACAAATTAATATTTTAATTAATTAAAATAAAGTAATTATTTTTAAATGGCTTAGTTATTTAATTAAAATTTAATGTTTTTTTAAATTATTTAATTAAATGAATTTCAATCTTATTTTTTAATTATTTTAATTATGTAATTTTGATTTGGATCTAATCAATTAATTATATTAGTATTTTAAATGAATTAATCTTAATTAGATTTTTAAATTAATTAGTTCATTATTTGATTAATTGATAGGGTGTCAAAACTTGACCTAACCCGAAACCCGACTTGGACCAAACCTAAAAACTATGGGTTCAGTTCAACTTGTTTGCCATATGGGTCGGATTTCAGTTCACGTTCGAGATTATGACCCATTAATAAAATCAGGTAGGGATCGGTTTGACCCTGAAATCAACCCGGAGGCACTTGAACCACCATTTGCAGCGCAATCCTGCGCTTGTGAGTTGTACCCACCCGTGTTCGGACTTTGCCCTCTGCACTGCACCCAGACTCTGCCTCCACACCGTGGCGCCAGCAAACCCTCCCGCGGACTTGCGCTCGCATCCGGACTTTGTCCTCATAACTGCTATGCTAGATAGCCCTCCTGCAGACCCGAACTCACATCCGGACTCCGCTCTCTGCACGCAGCGCCAACAAGCCCTCCTGCGAACTTGCGCTCGCATTTGGAGTTCGTTGGATGTATTCTAGGTTCACGGGTTGGGTCGGGTTAACTCGATAATCCGGCGAGTCTGGTTTGAGTCTGAATTTCTAACTTTTTTTACAAAACCATGTCGGGTACGAGTTAAGATGTTGGACCCGATTCAATTTTGGGTTCGACCCGAACTCGACTTGAAAACCCATTTTGACACCCCTATTAATTAATTGACTGAAATTATTTTATAATAATTAAATTAATTATTTTTAAATGAATAAATTAAATTTAAATGAATTAATTGTATTAATTATTAAAATAAATTTAAACATCTCAAAATTAGTCTCCAATGGCTCCAAAAGAGAATTTGGCAACCCCTTGGAACAATTTTGGCAGCCTCCTAGCGCCCCCTTTCTGCAAGGGGAGTTCGAGACGACATTTTTCATGGTTTCTACCTACCCGGATCAAAGATATGACAGCACAAGACCTTCAAATTAGAAATCATTCTACCCAAATCAAAGATCAAAGGTGTAGGGCCTTCAAATTAAGAATTCATATGCCCAAATCAAAAGATCAATGGTGAAAAAAAAAAGATCAATGGTGCAAGGTTTTGAAATTGAAAATTCATCCCATCCAGATCAAAAATCAATAGCGTAGAACTGTAGATTGAAATATCTGTCTATTTATTTTCGAGAATAAAAGACTTTTACTTAATTATACAACAATTTAATTTTAATTACATGAATCCATATAATTCAGTTCGAGTCGTCATGCGTGCTTGATGCAATGGACGACCAATTTGAATTGTTGTAATTGATGGAATACTCACGAATCAGAGAATTGAAGTTGTAGGAGAATTCACAAGTAGGCGTGGACATTTAGAGCGGGGAGAAATCAGGCAGGCGAGGGTTGGGCGTGTGTAGATCGAACAGATTTGCATGGGAGAAGTGCGGTCGACTTGTGTGATCAAGGTCACATAAGAGTGTCGCATGTGGGGGCAGGTTGTAACCGGAAGGCTAGGGTTAGGCGTTCGATCTTGCGTATGGAATGGCTGAATCAGACAGGCATAGGAGGTAGTTGCACGGTAACATGCCGATGAAATTGTGAGTAGGCAAGTCGGTTTCAGCATGTGGAGGAGCGTTCGTTTTTGGCGTGTGCAGGCGGGCTTGGTTCGAAACGGACAAGGCGACACGGGAGGCGGGGCTCAGTCTCATGTGCAAACGAGTAGGGTGACGCGAGAGTCTGCATTCATCCCCGTGCGAGGTGCAGGCAAGTTGGAGAGGATAAGCGGGTGGCTTGTGTGAACGGTGGGACCGAACAGGTGAAAGAGATGGACAGGTTGTTTGCAAGATTGACGAGCAAGAGCAGAAAACTGACGGGATTGAAATTGGAACAAGCATGTGAGTGCTTTTTTTTTCCGTTCTCTATATTGTTTTATATCAATTGAGTTGTCGATTGAATGTATTGTTTCACCAAACATCGCATATGTTCACTATGGAACTGCGCTCCATCGGGTTTAGGGTTTAGGATTTAAAGTATTCTTTCATCAATTTATTATTTTTCTATGATCTTTTTTGCTTTCAAACAGCTAAAAATTGTTGTTAAATAATGTATCATTATATTTGTTGAAAATTATTACCTGATTTGGTTTATATATTTGGCTGATAAAATGACCGTTTGTATGCACATAATACATATATGATGTGCAAGTCATGAATTCTCTAATTCATAAAAGCACCACTTCACTTCGTCCTTTGCACATTGAATAATAATTAAAAAAAGAAAAACTCATTTGAAAATACTAACAAAAAGCTAATCAGAAATAAGCTTTGATGCATTTCCTGAATAGCAGTGTTTCCCTGAGGTACTCAGCATGGCAGATCCCACGTGCAGAATCTGTCTTAAAAATTACATATAGTAAATACGCACCTGATGCAAATTATAGGCCGCAGTATATGCATTTCCACCATAAACCATTCCTGTGTTTCTGTAAGCGTCAGTGTATCCTAAACCTGAAAGCACATAGAAGTTGGTCTATTAGAAATCGGATTGTTAATAATTTGAAACCAGGAAAGAAAAAGCACGAACAAAGAACTTGGCACAAACATCACAATACTTGGAAAAGATAAAGATTGCAAAGCAGAAGTTACAGAAAACCTTCCTGCTATTCCTTGGCGTTACTTTAATCCTTATATCGATGAAGCATTAAGAAAAAAAAAAGAAAGAGAAACTCATATGCAGCACAAATGGCATGACAAAACTTGAAATTAACACGCCAAGGTGTTGACCTCTGTTATAAAACAAAAGAAAAAAAATCACCTAAATCATTACCTATCGCGAGCCCATACCAAAATCCTACTCTGCCATTCGCCCCATCCCTCTGCAAACGCCGCCGCTCAAGCCTCAATCCCATAATCCCTGCTCATACCTCTCGATCTTTTGTGAACATTTTACGTCGTTAAAATGAGAGGCGAGCAAGACATTCGCTTCTCCTCCTCCAACGCTCAACTTCTTCCCGCAAGCTCTTGTCTGCGAATAGGAGTTCCGACCCATTCCTCACTATACCGAAGCTTCCCAGCCAGATTTTCTTCTCTCGACTCCAACCCTGTCACCCTCTTCCTCTAGCCTTTAGATCTAGTCGCAAGTCTCCTCCCTACTGTCTCCTCCCAGCTCCAGGTCGAACCCAAGCACCTCAACCTTCTTCTTCCCTCCAGTTCCTTGTCAGACCAAACCTCTGCCTCACTCTGACCCGCCAACACTCCAACCCTATCACCTAAAGCCTCACTTTTGGAATTCACAGCGCATCGGAAAACCGCATATACACGCTTTTCTTAGCGTGGTGGGATGGGAACCCAGTGCGATGCCTATGGTGAAGTGGGGATATTTATAAGTACTCGTACGCGGGAAAACAACTGTGTTTTCAAACATGTAATGTAGAAGACCCATACATGCTTTTCTTAGCGTGGTGGGGGACAAAGATTACAGTCGAGGTATCCAAGAACACCTACCATACACGCTTTTCTTAGCGTGGTGGGAAGACCCAGTTTCTTGTAGTTTCCCCTAAACGGGGGAGACACCGGGAGCCTACCGAAATTTCACCTAACAACACAAAGGACTTGGATAAAAACAAGGGACTTGGACTGAATTGAATTTGAACTTATATGAACTACAAGGACTTGAATGAATGGAATGTAAGTAACAAAATTCAAATTCAAATAATAAGTGAACAATAAATCAACAAATGCAACATGATAATAAAAATATAAGCACTAAATGATGCATCCAAGTCATTAAGAGAAGCATCAATCAACAAAATAAGGGCCTTGTGCTGAAGTTTCAGATGTTTACAAACAAGTGCAAATGATAAGTGATGATTCAAAACATTCAATGGACACCAACATTTAATACAAGAAAAGGACTCGTCGTGGAATACTTTCAGACATAGGTAACATACAAGCAAACATGTTGGATTCTTTCATAAACACTGAAAATCAATGTGTGATGAGCATCAATAAACAAGACACAATGCACGTGGCAGATAAACTCTGAATGCATATGAATGGTGGATAATGAACATAAAATTACCTTATGATTTTCAATCCATCAAACTGCAAGTGATAACAAGCGCCTCTTATGCTCTACAAAGAAGGAATTACTACGAACACATTTGACATGTTTATGAAGTTATGAGGTAGAAGATGTGTGAAAAATGTGGTGGCATTCCAATTAACATGCTAACAAAAAAAATGAAGTTTTCAAATAAATGTTGAAAAGCTCTCATACCAATCAAAGTGCAAGCTATGAACTACTTCCAAGGACAACAAGAAACTTATGATATTCACCATAATTCACACAAAAGCAATATATTTGTGAAGTGAATTAGCATGAAGGAATGCAATGTCATCTCTCTCATCAACAACAATTCAATTCCAAGAAGATATAATAACGAAGGAGATCATATGCTAATGAGCAAATAAAAGACTTGTGTGCAATGAACAATAAATGCATTGTTTATGAGCAAGAGCAACAGGCATGTCAATAACAACGCAATCAATGAAATATGCATGAATTGTAACTAAAATCATGCAGTGCTATGTTCACAAGTAAAGCAAGGGAGATGTAGGAGAAGCGAATCCTTTGTTATCAATGCAAACTAATTTGTAAATGAGCACATAACAATCTACTTTCAAATGAGAAGAATAGATATGTTGCAGGATTCTTGATTTATGTATACGCAACATGAAATATGTAGTGTTCATATTAATCGACGAATGAACTTGTATATTGAAGATCAAAGGCCCTAACGAAGGGAACTATTAGTTGATGCAACGACTGGATGCAACAAATACAAGCACCTGCAAACTCTTGTAGCAAGAGTATTATAGCATACTCGTAGTTAACATCAAGATACAAACAAGCATAATGTCTACAAGCAAAGATAGCATATCTATAGCATAATGCACAATACCTACGAGCTATTGTAGCAAGGATATCATAGAATCTCTGCAACAAACGATCATCCAATGGAAGGTAAATACACTCAAGTGGTATGCAGCTAAGATTGTGATATCCCTATGGTTGTGGTTGGTTCACTTGTAGACCAATACAACCATTTCCTGTGAGCTACGACGACCAATGAAATTACTTGTGGAAAATAATGGTGGATATGAAGTGCGGTAACTCCTATGTGGACATAAGTACATATGTTCTCCGCAAGCAAAGATGTAAGGCTACAACACATTTAAATACCTACAAGCCATCCTAGGAAGCCTCTCATGTATGCAAAGTTCTATCTATAAAAAAATACAGAAAGCCTGCAATAAATCCAAACTCTTATGAATAATAGCAGGAGATTCGTTAGTGCACTACAATCCACCTGCAGAAAGCAACAAGTAGTGCAAGACAGTCTACCTGTATAAAACGGACAAATAACCACAAGTTATAATGCCACGCCACTGGATTTGCAATACTCATGCAAGCAGATAAAAGATGTCTACAAGTTACAATGTCACGCCATCGGATCTGCAACACTCATGCAAGCAGACAGAAGGCGTCTACAAGTTACAACTCAATGCCACCGAATCTGCAACACTCATACAAGCAGATAGAAGGCGTCTACAAGCTGCAACGCTACGCCATTGGATCCGCAACACCCCTACAAGCGGACAGAAGATGTGTACAAGCTCTTAAATGCTGATCACCCGCACAACTAATCAACACCAAATATTCCAAAAATGCCCCATCACATACATTGTAATATGTATGTACATAGGTACACAGAAGGGTATGTATAATCACACAACCCGTATGGGCCCCGACAAGCATGTTGCATGAACAAATGTTGTCTAAGGATACTGTGTGTGTTAATAAACTTGAACACAATTCTCCTAAATAGGTAAATAGGAGTCGATAAGGTTCAACAAATAATTATAAAATATCCAAAACACCCACATGGGCCCCGACGAGCTTGTTAAGGGTACGCACGTAACGTTTAGGGAAGCTGTGCAGATCAATAAATGAATTACAATTCGAGCTTGATTCTTTTATATGGATAGATAGGAGTCGACACGGCTCAAATTATCAAATAGATATACGATCAAGGCGTCGACTGGAATATCTGTTTTATACGTTCATATAAGGCCTTCAAGGTTGATGACAAAAAAACATTCATCAACAAAAGCATAAAGCCTACGAAATCTGATCCTTTGTCAACAGCTCGACAGAGTCGACAAGGTTAGATCCACAAATAGAAATGACCCCAAACATCCCGATGATGACAGTGTTGAATGTAAACCTCAACCAGATGGGTCAACTTTAAATATCCAAAGTTTCACTCAAACGCCCATCAAAACCCCAAAATCCAGAATCTAAATATTTAAAATTGAAATTCAACCATTAATCACTTAAAAAGAAAAATTCATCCACCCTCCACAACAGTTTGCTGGGTGGACAAATTCAAATATCACTTCAATTCACATAGTGCTAATGCCTAGTCAAAAATATTATTAGGATTCATTTTCAAATAATCTCCTGCTAGTAAAGACGTTGTACGTATCCTCTTATCGACGATATTGCCGCCAAATGGCATTGCAGGATAAACAGTTATAACCTAAGGCCCTCTAAACCAGAGCCCTACATGGGTCCCTGGTTGGGTACCCACGCTGCGCTGGCAGACTTTGCCCACCCACGCCCACCAATGGTGACTTTCGGGATGTCATACCCACCCACACCTACCCACTTTCCATGCTTATTGAATGCAGTCTGCCACGAATTAATGGCCTTGAGGTTTTTTGTCATTTTCTTTGACAGCAAACTTCTAAGCCACATCAAAATTTATCGTGGTCACGACGCGGTTTAGTATTGCATACTACGTAGTAAGGATTATTGTAATATACTGCATGCATATGGTGATTAGTAATTTAAATCGGTTTGTCCTCTGATGTCGAGTACCCACCCATACCCACCCACGAGGCCATGGACGTACCCATACCCACCCATGCCCATTGGGTATGGGTGGGTGTGAGTATGAGTACCCAATGTAGGGCTTTGCTATAAACCAAATAGTTTTGCCGCCAAATGGCACCATAATATAAGGGTTATGGCTAGAGCCAATACGCTCCTTAGTGGCATCAAAATATTGAGATATGAATCAATAGGATATAATTGATAAGACACAAAGCCCTCTGTTAGCTAAGGTGGATTCAAATTTGTCCCCTTAGACAAGGATTCTTTTGTCAGGTTGTGTCGACTACCTTCTCTGACTAAGTAGACCAGGGACCACGATGACACAAGACAACGAAACCATGGGATCTTGATTGGACCCATCATCCATTTTCCCACCGTCTGCTTTAAGTGTAAGATAGTGCAATTTCAAAATTTAAATATCAAATTCTCCAACACCCAAACCCATGCTGCTACTATATGTCAGATAACGTGTATATCTACATATCTGATTGACGACTAGCCTTAATCAAAAGTTCTCTCTCATTATCGAGAGGGGTAATTAACTATAGGGGTTTGTGCCTATAGGAAACAAGAACTCAGATTATAAAGTCCTCGTAAAATGAGAGCAAAATCTCTGAGTATTATCTTATCTACAAACCTATCTGCCTTCCAAAATTTACCTGGGAACTTAATCTATTAAAACTCCCCCGAGACAACAACGGGGGAGGCCGGGGCGGAATTTTCAGAGCCCACACAAGGTCATTAGAATACTCTAATAAAATTATATAAAATAACCAAAATTCTAAATATGTCAGATACAAAAAATTTTAGCACATTAAATGAAGTGGCTGATATTGAGTCTGAATGATGAAGATGGAGAATAGGAATGAGAATAAATGAGATCTGCCATGATTGATTAGGCATAAATTCCCAAATGACGTCTTAATTTAGTGCGGATGTCAAAGAAGAAATGTGAAAATCAAAATAGTCGACACTTTAACTAGACAGCCAATATGCCATCAAAGTAAATGCCCCACGGAATCAACAGCCCCCCTAAAAAACGTATGCTTCAAAGCATCACAAATTACAGTAGTATGATGATATCTATAAGAGATCATAGGAATTATAATACTTGGGTTTGCAGCAACAGCAGCTGCAGCTGCAGCTGACGCCCTTGCCCTTTTCTCTGCATTATCAAGTTCAACACGCAGCTTTTCTACCTCACGAGCCATGGAAACCATATTTTTCTGCATTTCCTGACTTTGTCCTAGGTTTTCAGCGCGTGCTTTTTTCTCGTACTCAACCGCAGCTCTGTCGAAAATTGCAAGAGGAATCAGTTAGATCATCTTTATTCTTTTACAACTTGAAAAAACAATACCTGAACAAAGATCAGATATATCGATTGCAGGCTGTTGCAAAATAAAGATGAAACAGTCAAAACGCAGCGGAATTAACAAACATTCTACGCTGGCAAAAACAAATTGTAGCAAATGCGACGGAAACACATGTAAAAACAATCTGCTACAAAATGCTGACATAGGTTCAAAGCAGGAGTATGAACTTTGAATTTCATGCTTGATTCACACTTTTGATTCAGAAGTTGCTTGGATCAGGTTTGAATAAGCTGGTTAAGGTGTGCTAAACCAAATTCAATATAGGACAGGCTGAACCAGTCTAGCAATCTTAACATCTTATTAAATGGTATGGAAATACTCAAATTAGGCATAAATATGCAAGGAAGAGTTCCAATTTAAGTCTATTTCCATGATTTTTTTTCATGAGTTTTAAGTCGTTTGACACTACAGGACTATCAGGTCACGCCAAAAATGAAGAATTTCATTCCGATACGTGCCAGAACCCAAGTTAATAGAGTTTTAGCCATTCTAAACTATCCACTGATGCTTAAGCTAGATTGCATTTTAAGAAAATCATGGAACTAACTGGGAGATTGATACGCAGTGGAGTAAAATCAGTGAGAAAAACAGCAGAAATAGCAGAAAAAACAGCAGCAAACAGTAGGAATAAGGGCTGATTTTTTATTAATAGATCTACAAGAAACAAGATACAAGTGATCTATAATTAGAGAGGTAAATCGGCTCTCTCAAACAAACTAGTTGCCGCTAGGAAGTCCTCACGAAAGAAAAAAACTACAGAAACTATATCAAATTCAAAATATGCATACCTCAAAATAAACCCTAGACCCCTCCTTAAATAAGCTCTCAAATTGCCTCTAAAATAGATTTGTTTTCTTAATAGTTTCCTTCTTTAATTTAAATTTAATTAGGAAATCTTTCCCTCTTTAATTTAAATCCATTAGGAAATCTTTTTTTCCTAATTAATCCTCCCTTTAAATAGTTTCCTTCTCATTCGTCTTCTTGGCCAGGGTCTTCTGCCTATATAGTTTTAGTTTTAGATAAACTTTATCCCCGAGCTCGAACTGCACTTCACGTCTGCATTCATCTGCCTTCTTTTTCATGAGCTGTTGAGCCCTCAGCATATGCCCTTTGAGTTCTGCTAGTATTTTGTCCCTCTCCTCAAGTATTGATCTATGCTAGATATTGGTGTATTGTTCTTTCCTTAGTGTATCAGATGGGGCGAGTCCCTCCCATAAAGGATCCTAAAGGGGGTCGTTTGTGCAGCTGTGCATCCTGAACGGATGTATTGTACCAATCAGAGCCCTGCATTGGGTACCCGTACCCACACCCACCCATATACCCACCCATACCCGGTATGGGTACGCCCATGACCTTGTGGGTGGATATGGGTAGGTACTAAATATCGAGGAATAAATCGATTTACATTGATAATCATTGTATATCTTACTTATACTACTGCAATCATCACTACGTATTGTGCAACACTTAACCACGCTACGAGTACGATAAATTTTGATATGCGACTTGAAAGTTTGCCATCATAGCCGTACGTTTGTGGTTGACATGTTGTGCACCTTTCTAAAACCGTCCCTTGCATCTTCAATAGTTCCCTTCAAAAAAAAAAAACTGAGGAATACCTTATCTTTGTTTGATACTATATATTTTGGAATGCCATGTAAGCGCACTATCTCCCTGATAAAGATTGTGGTGACTAATATTGTGGTGTAGGGATGTTTCAGTGGAATAAAATGGGCATACTTGTTTAGTTGGTCTACTACCACAAGTATTATTAAATATCCCTCCAAAAGTGGTAATCCCTCAATGAAGTCCATAGTCACCTCCTCCTAAACCCTTTCAGGTAAAGTGAAAGGTTGTTTTGAACCTCCTGGTGTCATAGTAAGGTATTTATGCATCTGACACACATTGCACCTCCACTATGCATCCACATCCCGATGTAATCCTACCCAATATAAGTCAGTGGCTAGTCGGTTGTATGTCTTTTAAACTCCTGAATGTCCCCATATCGCACTACCATGAAATTCCTGCAACAGCATGGGAATATAACTTAAGGATCGTGGGAGTACAAACCTCCCTTGGTAGAGCAGTTGGTCCCCCTTCAGAGCATAACCACTATGACTATCCGAGTCCTTCAACAATTCTTCCTTGATCTTCCTCAATCCCTTATCCTGCTCGCTCTCCCTCCTTAATGCTTCCTAATCTAAGATCATTGGTACTAAGAAGGTTGTTAACTATGGCTCTTCAACCCTCCTGGACAAAACGTTTGCTGCTTTATTTTCTAAGCCCGGTTGATACTGGATCTCAAAGTTGTATTCAAGCAATTTGGATAGTCATATCTAGTGCTCCTTCGTGACCATCCGTTGCACCAACAAATATTTCAGACTGCTCTGGCCGATCCTGAATATAAAATAACTCGCTAATACATTAGGCCGCGACTTTTGAATTGCCAAGAAAATCGCCATAAGCTCCCATTCATATATTGACTTGAACTTTGCCCTGGCTGTGATGACTTGGCTGAAATATATGATAGGTCTATGATCTTGCATGAGCACTACTCCTAACCCAAACCCGATGCATCATCCACCACAAATAGTCTACTAAAATTTGGGAGTGCCAGTACAAGTACACGGGTCATAATTGTCTTCAGGTCTTGGAATGCTCGAGTCACTTCCTCCCCCCACTTGAAGTTATCCTTATTCAATTACTTTGTCAGAGGTTTTGCTATAGTGTTATATCCCTTTACAAACTTCCGGTAGTAACCGATAAACCCTAAGATCCCCTGCAGCTACCTCAAGTTCTTAGGAAGAGGCTAGTCCATCATGGCTTAAATCTTGGATTGGTCAGCAAATACCCCCTTTCTGGACACCACATGTCCTAAATACTCTACCAGTGATTGCCCAAATGTGCATTTTTTCCGGTTGGCAAACAACTGATGCACCCTCAAGATCTCCATTATTTTCTTCATGAGTTCCTAGTGATTTAACATTGTCTTGTTGTATATTAAAATGTCATCAAAGAATGCCAAGACAAACCTACGAAGATGTGGGTGGAACACTTAGTTTGTAAGTGACTGGAAGGTGGCAAGGGAATTGGTTAGGCCAAAAGGCATCACGAGGAGCTCGTAGTTCCCTTCATGTGCCCTGAAAGCAGTCTTGTGCACATTAGTTGCATTCATCTTGATCTGATGGTACCCCGACTTCAGATCAATCATGAAGAAGATTACTGCTCCAAATAACACATTCAAGAGTTCATCAATCACTGGAATGAGAAACTTATCTAGTACTATTTCATTGTTTAGAGCCCTATAATCGACACAAAACCTCTAGCTGTCATCCTTTTTCACCAACAGGACTGGACTAGAGAAAGGACTCACACTAGGTCTGATGATCCCCGCTTCTATCATCTCATTGATCAACCATTCTATCTCATCTTTTTTATTCTTAGGGTAATGGTATTGTCTAACACTAATAACAGAAGTCCCCTCTTTTAGGTTGATAGCATGCTCATGCTTTCGTGGCGGTGGTAACCCGATAGGTGGCTAAAATACGTACTAATATTATTGCAAAATTTGTCGGACCCCCATTAGAACTTTCCTTGTCTCATGTTCCTAGACTCCTATGCTTTGTAACTCAACGAAATACCCCAGGTCTGCATCCTGGATCATCCTGAGCATGATTTTAAGTGATACCATGGTCTTGCATAAGCTAGCATCCCCTTGAAGCACTGCCTTCTTCCCTTCCACCTGTATCTTTATGGTCAATGATTTCTAGTTTGCTTTCATATCTCTTATAGTCTGAAGCCACTTCATCCCCAAAATCACATCCGTACCTCCCAAATCCAGAGGAAGGAAGTCTTCCACCACTTGAATGCCCTGCAAGATCATCACCACCCATTTACATATTCCTCGGCTCCTCTCTATCTTGCCCATTCCCATCATCACCCCGCATCCTTCAGTCCTTACTAACTTCAACCTCAATTGGCCCACTACCCAATTTGGGGTGAGATTATGTGTAGCTCCACTATCCACCGAAACCACTACTGATTGCTCCCTAATTTGCCCTCTTAATTTCATGGTGTGATTTCAGATCTATCCCATCATAGAGTTCAAGGACACTTATGCCACATCTAAATGCAACCACTACATTTCCTCTATATAACATCCTCCAGCTCATCCTCGTTCTCCTCTTCCCCTTCGCAGACCATCAGGTCTTGAAGGGCTCGATTTTGCACCTATGCTCTGGTGTGAAGCTCTCATCACACTTGAAGCATAACCCTTTAGCTCGCCTATCCTATACATCAGCTTCTATGAGTCGCTTGAAATTGCCTCGAGGGCGAACTCGGGTGCTCTTCTACTTTGAGGATTATCTCTAAAATGATATCGTCTGGGTTCTTGGTATTAGTGTCGTTGAGGTACTCTTGTAAGCCCCTCCCATGATGTTGCTCCGGCTGGTCTTCTCTCTCTGATGTTTTTCTTCCACACTTTACGCCAACTCCATCATTTCTCTCAGACCTCTAGGTCTCAACACACTGAGCTATGCTCGTATGATAAGGCCTTTAATAAAATTTTCTTCAAACCCTTGCTCAGAAATTCCCCTTAGTCTTCCTGACAGTAGCTCAAATTTCTCCTGATACTCCATAACAATCCCCCATGCTAAGGCATAGAACTACTAGTGGAGGTCTCCTCCCGAATGACTCAGAAACATTCAAATAAGCAATCCTTTAATTCTACCTATAAATAGATAGGATATCTAGTCTCCCTCCACTGAAATCAAGCTAGGGCTTTCCCCTCCAAGCATAGTTCCACCGCCATGAGTTTCTCCCCTTATGTCAGTTCATTTATAGCAAAAATGGCATTCTACTCGATACACCCAACTCTAAGCATCTTCCCCTTCAAAGACTGGCATTTTTAACTTCCTA